TTGGGTTTTCTCTGCTTTATTTATTTGCAAAGTTTCTATTACCAATTGACAATATATATGTTGTGATTTTCCACAGAGCTATGATGAAGAACCCCTCCCCAATTACAGTCAAATACTATTTGAGGAGCGAAGGTTATCCCAGAATTGGGACACCACAGACGTCGAAGACGACAATGCAAGAGAATTAGAAGAAGAAATAGCTGATGAGACGGATTGATCAGAGATGCTTTATCATCCAGTATATTCATCAGAGAACAACACATTTATTCTCATCAGAGAACAACACATTTTTTCATCTGTGAAACCCTCTACAACTGGTAACAAGTGCAAGCCTGCAACTGTCATGAGTGAGAATGAGATTCCAGTACAATTGAACACAACCCAAGTGAAGAAGGTGAAGTCCATGAAGGTACGGGCCCAGCATCTTGACAGCTCCAAATGATTTTGTGATTGGGTTTATCAAGCAACACTTCAAATTGGGTTCTTTCTATTTCTTTGATGGGTTCAGGTTTGTTTATGGTCCATAGTCTAAATTGGTCCAAAATTATATGTGGCCCAATTGCAGAGTATGTAAAATGCTACCCTTTGATTTATGTATGGTTGGCGTCTGGGAGGTTGGGGTGTCTTGATAACTAGAAGGTTGAGCAAGTTGTTAGGCATTTATTTTAACTTTGGAGGTTAGATGTCAAGAGTGTTGGGATATCCATAAAAATTTTGCCAATGAAGACGTCAATTATGTGTCATTATGCAAAAGGCTTTTGAGGTTTGAGTTCCAATTGCAGAGTATGTAGAGTGGTGCCTCGTGGGTTTTGGGAACATGGGTTGCTAAAACTTCTTCACCAAGTTTGATACAAAATTGTTGGAAACCTTGGGCTATTCTTTAAGAGGAAATTGCTTATGGGAAGTTACATTCTCCAAAGAACTCAGTCTTATAAGGAATCAGCCTAAAGAATTATGAAATATGGATCAGTACAAGCAGTCTATTGCTGGTTTTTCTATGTTAATGAGAAATAGTCCTCTCCTATTTTTTATTGATTAATGATAACTCTAGTTTGTATTCTTCTTGATGATACTTTATTTTGTTAAACATGATAACCATATTGTTCAATGCAAGGTTTAGAAAAAAACGTATCGGTGACTCGAATCGGTCACACCCAAACCCGTGTTGGATCAAAGAGTTGGTGGATCGGATCGTAGAATCGATAATTTTTATCTCAAAAGTTTATCAAAAAATCTCTATAATTCTCTAAAAATAGTGTTATTTTAGTTTCTAAAAGAAAATAGGAGTCGCGCATTATGTATTTTGATTACTTTGTAAAAATAGATGGATACTGAGATGCTATTTTTTTGTCTGGATGTATAATTAATAAATAAAACACAATGTTTAGTTATCAATATATAATTATTAATTATAATAAACATGATTCAAGAATTTCGATATAGCAACTTAACACAATTTAAAATCATATCAATTTTTTATTGCTTTATAAAATAAGTTATTGTAATAATAACAAATTAACAATAAATTATTTGTTAATATTTGTAAAAGTTCAAAATTATTATTTAAAAATACAATCTAGATGAAATATGAAATAATATAATCTATATAACAATAATAATTTGTTAAATAACATAGCACTTTAATATATTAAATTATGTGATGTTTTAATGTATTTATAGTGATAAAAAATTCCAATATAGCAATAACAATTTTAACATACTTATATTAAATTAGTTAACAATTTTTGTATAATTATATTCATTCAACATAATAATATTAAATTAATTTTAAAGTGAGCATATTCATATAACTAAAATTTTATAGTAGATTACTAAAGAAAGACACGCTAAAGTATTTGGTTGGGGGTCTAATATAAACAAAATTCAGAAATTGTACAAGATATGAAAGATAGGAAAGTAACAAAATAGGCAAGTGAATATCGCGTATAATTATCACTTCACCGATCCGCTTTTTTTAATAAGTTTTACATAATCATATCCATTCAACATAATAATATTAATGTTATTTTAATGTATCCATATTCACATAATTATAGTGACAAGTTTAACATAATTATATTGAGTTATTAGCCTAAATAAAAACAATTTCATATAATTATATTAGTTCTTGTAAATTTTTATGTGTAATTTTTTTTTTTTTTATTTATGTGTAAATTAAACTTAGTTATATGTACTTTATTTTAATAAATTATAAAAAATAAAATTAAATATAAACAAATATATTTTGTAAACCATTATTTTTATAGATGATAGTTTCGTTTATAAGAGAGATATTAATGAAATCGTCACCCTTAATTATGTAGCATCTTTTGTCAAAGCAAAAGAGATTTCCCGGAAGAAACAGGCATATAAAAGTTAGTAATGCATAATTCTCTCCTATGTAAGTGACACGCGGGAGGTGGCCATTGCAAAAGGTGGGCAACTAATCGTGGCCCCATGTGTTGGGTTTGTGCCTTCTAAAAAAAGTGGGCTGCCACCCATGTGATTTTTAATAAGTCTTGATGTTTCAAAAAAAAAAAAATGTACCTCCTCTTATTTAAAGAAAAAAAATTATTAGGCAGTTTGGAAAAAAAAAAAAAAAGCAAAGAGGTGACGTGTCCGCTTTATGATGTTATCGTATGTGTCATCTTTAAGCGATTTCGTGCAAAAAAAATAAAAACGGCCCGATCCCGTTTTATGGATGGATCTAGAACGATTTGATCGATACTTGATTCCGAATCGGGCCATCGATTCTTTAAACATTAATTCAATGTGATTTGTTATAGTTCATAGCAACGGTTTAAAAAACGGATCGGTGATACGGATCGGGTTTCCAAAAAACCGATCCGGATCGGCAAATCGACCATCCGGATCGAGAATCGGGTGAATCGGTCAGAATAAAGTTTAAAAAAAATCCGAAAAAATTATTAAAATTCATTATAAATATAATTTTTTAGGAATTCAATAAGAAATGAGGGTACTCCATTAAGAATTTTCATGTTTTTGAATGAATATGCGAATATTGATATGTTCTTTCCCTGCATGAACCACCATTCAGCATTTAATTTACATCACACGAAAGGATAGATATAGAATTATCATGGAATAAGTATATCAACATACATGGACTACAATAAAGCCTAAAATTAGTAACATATGATCTAAAAATAAAATGATAGACGACGTTATTGTTCTTCTTGGTCACGTTGGTGCCATTGATTGAATTTGTTTAACAATTCATTGATTCGATCTAAAAACGAATCATTGATATTAGCAGGAGTCTGACTATTCCCAAATCCCTGAGTGTTAGTGTTTTGTTGTGTTCCCAATCAAAAATCCCCGAAGATTGTCCATCCTTCATGCTCACCTGCATTGTTGCTGTTGAGACTCGATATGTGAATAATATGGCTGGGATAGGGTGGCTTCAGAATCATCATCTCTCTCATTTTCTCTTTGAATAATATGGACTAAAAAATAATGATAACAAATTTTCAAAAAAATCGATCATAGATTAAAAAAACAAAATCACAAATTTTCAAAAAATTCTATCAAGGATTACAAAAAAAAATTCGATCATGGATTAAAAAAAAAAATCACAAAGTTTCAAAAAATTCTATCATGGATTACAAAAAAAATTCGATCATGGATTAAAAAAAAAAATCACAAATTTTCAAAAAATTCAATCATGGATTACAAAAAATTCGATTTGGATTACATAAAATTCAATCATGGATTACATAAAATTCGATCATGGATTACAAAAAAAAACAAACAAAAAAAACAAAAAATTCAATCGTGGATTACAAAAAAAGAAAAAAACAATTCGATCATGGATTACAAAAAATTCAATCATGGATTACAAAAAACTCTATCATGGGTTACAAAAAAAGCAAAAAACAAAAAAATCGATCATGGATTACAAAAAAAAACAAACATTTCGATCATGGATTACAAAAAAAAAACAAACATTTCGATCATGTATTACAAAACATTCGATCATGGATTACAAAAAATTCTATCATGGGTTATAAAAAAAAAAAAACAAAACATTC